ATCTAATGAAAGCTTCAATATTCTTACATATATGATTGGGTTTTGTACCTCCATTCTATAGAAGCCATAGTAAATTCTGTATAGCAAATGCTTCCTAAATCTGCTGTGCTCATTTACTCACAGACAGCTGCAGGCTGGATGAAAACAATCAGGGATTAACTTTTCTATTCATCACATCTTTTAATCCATTACTTTGTCTTAGTTTGCAATAAATGAACATATAAAGTTAAATAAATTATAAGTGTGCCATAGCTAGTTAAAAAAAGTAGTTTAAAAGGGACATTATTATTATTATTATTTTTAATGATGTGTAACTGCTGTACTTTACATCAGTATATGTAATGTATTAGAGCAGAAAGGATGATGCAACAATAGTCACTGAGATGCAATAAACTTCTGTGTTCCAAAGACTTCCAAAATAAGTAATAATTAAAATAAGCTACTTTGATGTTGTTATTATTCCTCAAAAAACTAATTTGGGGGGGATGATGAATTGAAATAATCTGAGAAGCTGTGTTAAGCATTTCATTCTGCTTGTAAAACAAGCTTCTAAGTACCTTATGGTAATAGGGTTTCTTGCTTTATGAAAAATACTATTGTAATTTGTTTCAAATAGGATTACTTTTTACGTGATATGGCAATTTTCATTCACCTTTCAAACAGCTGCTGAGAAAACAAAAGGGATTCCTTCATAAAGACATTAACACAATTAAATCTGGATCTCGTTTTTAGTTCTTTACTGGTATCCTTTTACCCCCTCCTTTGACTCATTTATCTTTTATGTTTGTCTTACACAACTGCATCATCCCTGTTTGAAATGACTAACTTAAACTTTCCTGTTAGTAACCACCTAGCAAGGTGGTTTTTATCGTACTAAACCACAGGAATCCCTTGCAAGGCTTTTTTTTTTCCTCAGTTTGTTTCTGAAAATGGCAGCTGAGTGAAAAAGAAATATGGTTATCTGTGCTAAATGCTGTTCATGCCACAGTTCCAACAAACTGGTCACCCAGACTGCCTGGGATGGGAAGATGGACTGGCAACGGAGGTGGTGGGAAAAGGAGCATGGTGAGAAAGAAGTGACTTGCTCAGAGAAGGGAGAGGATGTGTGAGAGACTACACAGCTTGAAACTTCCTGAGGGAAAGGTCAAAAATTTTTAACAAGTTGGAACAACTACTGGATTTTTATGTTGATACTGTGGCTAAGAGGAAGCAGGTTCTGTAAAGCTCCAGTTTGATGGGAGACACAAGGGCTTACAGCCAAAGAAGAATTTAACTGCTCAGTGCAACCCTGCCTGGACGTTTATGTACTGATCAGACTGACGAGAAGAGTTCATGGGTTCGGGTTCTAGGTTCGGGTTCCCCCCTTCCACAGACTGCCCCTCATTTCATCATGAGCTTCCTCTGTGAAATTATCCCAGAGACAGATTGCTGCACCCACCCAGCATGAGGATGTGAAAGGAATGAGGCCTTCTTCAGACTGAAGCAACAACTGGGAAGGGAGGAGGGAGAGGAGGGAGAACATCTGAACATCTCAGAGAAAATCCACCAGCTCTGACCCCTAAATCAGAAACTTCACTTGAAAATCTTCTGTTTTTCTGTTTTGGATACAACCCTTAATTCATTTTGCTTCTACAAAAGGGAAGCAGGCAGCCTTCATCTCTCTGACTAAACATGTTTTCTCACATTGGCCCTAAGTAGATGCTTTTATCTGGTGAGATCTGAGTGAAATAACCAAACACACCTTAGAAAAACATCCCTCTCTTATAGTCAGATGTCACATTACTCCATAGGTCATTATTTTTATCTTTTTTGGCTCTAAAAGAAATATTTTTCCATTTTTTTCTTTTTACAGAACTGTGAATTCTTATGATTATTGCAAAGAAAGTTATTTTATATATGCTTAATTTTTCAGAATTTGAACACATCTGTCCAATATAAGTTAATTCAGTTTATAATTAAATTAAAAGAACAATCTCTGTGGGATTTGATCTGCAGAACAAAGATTTAGTGGCTCTGCTGTAAATTAGGATTTTCTACTGCTAGAGGATACCCTGGTCGTTCTCCACCTGAATTGCTTCTCCATCATCTTCAACAAGAGGGACAGCCTTAGCACCACAGTTTGGCAGAGATTCAGGCAAAAGGGAGAAAAAAACCAAAAAAATTAAAAAACAGCTCCCTTTTAGACATTTAATTCAGCCTCTTCCATACGCAGTGCCACCCTCCTGCCTCAAGAAGGCTGAGCTGCAACCACTGCTACAACCAGAGCAGCTCGTTCACCCCAAGGCACAGGACCAGGAATCACACTGCTGTCAGATCCCTGGAACCGCAGTTTTGGCAACATTACTGGAAAGCAGCTTTGTGACTGCTGACAAACTGGGAGACACCCACACAATACCTTCTGCAATCAAAGTACCAGCAACTTCCTACAGCAGCAGTTTGGGACCACAAAATTATCTAAGAGTAATGTTAATTAGCACATGTCAAAACAGATGGACACGAGGAGTGTAGCTCCTCAGAGATTTCAAGCAAATATTGTTTCTCATATTTTCAATACTCCAGTTTGAGAAATGTAAAAAATTTTTTCTGTCACCAGATAAAACCTGTTCTTGAAACTATTAAGTCAAGTCCAGCCTCCAATCACTACCACCAATAAAACAGTCACACCCTTAAGACGACACATCCAGGTAAGGAGGCAGCTTACTTTTGAAAAAAAATATTATTGCCACTTCTATTACTTTGTTGTGTATTATGCTTGTATTTAAAAAAACATCTATGGCTAAAGCTACTGTGTACAAGGATCACTAAAAGTTAAAAGATTATGTTAGAACTTTTCCAAGAGCAAACTGGAATTTTGCCCAATGAATCAAGAGCAATGTGGAGTTTTCCGCAAACCCTCATTCCACTGAATGCTATTTGGAATAATCAAGAATATCATTGACAAGCTGACTATGAAATGATTGAACAGCTCATCATCTACAACCATAAACCTCCACAGACAAGAGACCCCACCCAAAAAGCTGCACATATGTCAAAGCATTTCCCACAGTTGTAGCTTATTATTCAATGAGTCTAAAATAATTACAAAATACAAAGTGATTACAGTTATTAAATGAGCCTAAAATAATAACAATAAGGTTTAATTAACTGGTTGGATATCAAAATTCAGCATCTAACCAAAAATGCACTTTCTGAGATGAATGATGACATGTTTCTCAAGTGACTCGAGTTTGATCTGTCCTTATCTCCTTGAGAATACTCCTCAAGCTCTTTGCTATTCCTTCCCCCTCTGTTGCCTCTAAGGAGGTACATTACTCAAATGATATATGTTGGAATACATCCAAAACCATATGGATATAGTGGATAACCAGACAAGTATGATAAGCTAAAGCCAGCTTGTTGAAGATGAAATGCTGACATCATTCTGCACATTCATCATCACACCAGCTCTCAGGTTTTCTGCTCAGGATTTGGTTCTTTGATTTACTTTTTTTTTTTTTAACTGGAAGACATTCTAGAAATAGACATTTTGATGACTTCACTTTTTTTTTTTTTTTAGAGTGGCAAATCTTAAAGGAAAAATGTCCAGCTAACTTAAATTAGGTAGGAGGAAATAACTTAATATTTAATCTTAAAGACAAATCTACTGATTTAAATAGTTATGCTCAATCTACCACCATCTTGCAAAGAAATGCAGGTCAATCATGGAAGCACCAATATTTCTACTTTTCGGTGGAAAAGTGAAGGCGTCAGGAAAATTTGGAGACTATCAAGAACTAACAGGGCAGAAATTAAGGGAACATTTGAGTCTAAACAACTATTTCCTTTCATTTAAACATCTTCACAGAGTCATAAAAGCATTAGCCATATGCAAATATAAACAACAATAAACCTATTAGGAATAACTGATTTGGTTTTAGTTAATTTTTTACAGACTATTAATAAATCCAGAAGGATGAAGAATTCTTACATGGAAAGAAACTGTCCCACTATCCCAGGGAAAAAACCTTTCAAACTCACTATGAAATTTATGTAGAAATTATGACTTTGATGCAATGTGTCCTCAGTTTTCTGAACGAGCTGAAAGTATCACAGAGCTACAAAAATTCACATTACCACATAAAATTTTTAATTATATCCCTGTAGACCATATGCAACCAGGAAAGGGAATGGAAAGCAGTCCTTAATCCAGAGCAATTTTTAATCTTAAATTTCATGTGAGCTGGCCTAATTCTCCATATAAAATAAATACTATCAAGTTACAGATTTGCATCACAGAGTTAAACCAGAGCACACTAAACAGACCCTCCTCATTCAAAAGAAATACCTTTTTTTGTTCAACTTCAGGATGTTTCTGTGAAGCTTTAATTTACTTGAATGAAAGCATTTTAAATCATTTTTATGAAACTGTATTAGGAATCACTTTTATCAAACTTGGTTTTATTTTAATGATGAATCTCTCTACGTAAAAAATCTTTAAAGAGCCTTAAGGTTTTCCAGTGAGGGGCCTTTAATGCCTGTCTCTACCCTTCAGCCAGCGCCACACACCAAACTCCGTGACAGGAAATGTTTTCATGGATATCAAGAGTTGGATTCTGCCACATATTTATTTAATTGTAGGGAATCATCTTTCTCCATCTTCTTTGGACCAATTATTCCTACTGAAAGCTGATTTTGGGCAATGCCAAAAATGCCTGCAAGAGCCTATTTGGCTCGTCCAGGTATGTGGGTGTGTATTTAATATGTTACAAACTGATTTATACTTAAAAAGCATCTACCATTCTTACGCATTACCTACCAAATTTTCATTTTCAGAGCATATTTTGAAAACATTTCAGCTTTTTCCCCCATCTTCATTTTTTTTAGAAGAGTTACCTCCCTGAAATTATACTTGTCATCAGCCCCGTAGTCAAATCTCACATAGAACCAGATTTAACATCTTTGCAAAATCCTGGCTTAAATATGTGGAGCTTATTTGCAGTGTCTGTTAATAGTTTGCTTACCAATATCAGCTTCCCTGTGATTCTTGATATATTCAGCAAGCTCAAAATTTCCAGCTATTATAGCCACCTAAAGGATTGCAAAATAGGTACAATTAATATATTGCCATCACTTGTTAAGAAGGAAAATAAACATGTTATAGTATCGGAAAAAACCATCATGCAAATATATTTTCATTTCACAAAGTGGAGTAACTCTGTATTGCTTCTATTCTGCAACAAAATTGAGAAATTATATCTTAATCTATTTGTAAGAGCACTGCCAGTCCCCCAGCTCCCCATTTCCTAGGATTGCTGTGATGGTGGGAGGCTCAGGAGGCTGCTGGAAGAGCTGCTGCTTTTCATGTTGTGGCAGTCAAACCCAGCAGTGAACATTAAACACAGCATCCCCAAAACTCTGGGAGCTGTATGGATGTATGGGGAATGCTACAGGAGCAGGCTTGGAGAGACACACTGAAGATATTATTTCCCTTTAACTGCTCCTTCCTCACCACTTACCTGAACAATAAAAACAGGAGCTAAAATGCAAAGCACATGAGACAACTAGGGAAGAAGGACCAAGAACAACAAGTATCAGGTATCAGTAAGACACAAAAAAAAAGACAGAGAAACTGGTAGTCACACATGGGTTTAGGGTTCAAATCAAAACAAATTAAGTTCTAAAATCACAATTTTCTTTTTCATTTATTTCCTGGTTGTTGAACACAGATGTGTAACTACATATTTGGAATTCCTATCTAAATGCACTTAAAAAGAGAAACATCTCCACTGGGTGATTTGGTTATGCCATTGGTGTCCCCTCACATTTTCTTCTCCTATTTTTAATCTGAATATTGTCTTTTCTGGCCCCATTTTGCAGCTATCAGATGCTGTCCCCCTATTGGGGGGTTTTCCTGGTGTATGTACAAGGTATTTGTTGGGCTGACCTTTCCCGTAGAAGCTTCTGCATCTGCAGGGTGCAGGTAAAAGAAAAAGATATTAAAAAAGCCTGCTTTGGGACTTTCCTGGATACAGGGCTATTGTCAGACATGAGAAATTAATGAAAGCTCAAGGAAATTCCTGAGCTGGTACCAAGAAAGATTTTCTGCTGGTTTGTGCCTCTCCACAAATCTCAGGGATAAAGAAAAACCTAAATGCTGGAATGGTCTTAGGGAGGTTTATGAAGTACAGTTAATGTTATATCTTTTAATGTAACAAGCATTAGATCTTATTTCTGCACTCAGCACAGGAAATTGAATGGACAATTTTATTTACTAGCAATCAAAACAAACTAATGTGGAAATCTTTGAAAAATGGAGATTTTACACACAAGCAACAAGCTACAGGAAGAAAACCTTAACTATTATGTCGATAAGATTTTTCAAAGTTGCTTAAATTATAGGCTCAGAGCAGGCTTAAACCAGGGATCATGACCACTACATCCACTTCACCTAAAAATCAAAGAATTACACATATAGAAAATATATGCACTTCTGTCATAGGTTTGAAAAGAGATGTTGGATTTTTTTTCCCTGGAGTCCCATTTTTTTCCTCCTTCCCACCCCCCATCTGTTTATTCCGGGATGGGGAGAGTCAGGGAGGGGGTGGGTGATAGAGCAGAGCACACTCTGGGTAGCGCAGGAGTGGGGGAAGGGGGAGGTTCCCTGCGAGCGCAGTTGTTGGGGGCACGGCTGGAGAGTCTTTTGGTCAGAGGTTTTTGGTTTGGTTGGCTGACCAGACAGAGTGGGGAGGGGGGGCCTGGTTTTGGCCGCCTCCTTTTCTTTTCCTGAGAGGAAGTTTTTTTTTCCCACGGGACACCTCGCAGAGAGAGAGAGAGAGACTGACCCATTTCAGAGGGGGGGGACCCAGAAGGGAAGTCACAGCCAGCAGAAGTGGCCCCAGTGCAGAGGAAGAAGTATAACGCCGAGTCAATATGCCCAGTTAATGAGGACGGGAAACCAGGGCCTTCACAGCCAGTGGAGGACCCAGAACCTGAGATCATTCCCAAATCCCTGTCATATGACCAGCTCTGCAATATGTGGAATGATGTTACTTGACGCCAAGACAAGCCCATTTTGACCTGGCTGATTGTGGAACCTTATGGGTGAGGGCTTGCCACTTGATAGCAATGAAGCAAGGTATTTGGGATCCCTGGCCCAGGATGTGGGTATCAAGCAAGCATTTGTGAGAGAGTCAAGGCCCTTTTCTCTCTGGGAGCGACTTCTAACAGGTGTGAGAGAGAAGTTTGTTTACAGAGGCTTCCTGCAGCAGCACCATTATGAGACGGCCTGGAAGACCATGGAGGAAGGTATCCAATGCCTGAGAGAAATGGCACTGTTAGAGACACTTTTTGACAAGGATGGGCAACCCAGCCACAACCCCGACGACATCAGGTGTATATCACAGATGTGGTGAAGCCTTTCACAGGTACGGCTACCTATATACACCACTTTCTTGGCATCATTGCACTTTGAAGGAAACAGAGAGACAGTGGGCTCTGTAATGAATAAACTCAGGATGTACAACAGCATGGTTCACACCCTGTTACGGGCCCGTATTTCCACTATGGCTGAGACAATGGCTGAGAGCCTCAAGGCACTGACTACAGAAGTACAAGATGAACAGAAGAAACTTAGAGAGGAGATGAAGGAAAACAGCTTCCACATGGCACCAGTGCAAACCAGAGCCTCTGAAGTCAGACCCAGATGCTCCCCAGTTAGAGAGAGCAGACAGACCCCACGAACCAAGATGTGGCATTTCCTAGTCCATCATGGAGAAGACATGAGACAGTGGGACAGAAACCTACCCGTGCCCTAGCAGCCCGAGGACAAGAGCGTAAGGAGAGAGAAAAAGGGAAGCCCATGAGGGTAAGTGCAGTACCGGTATCTCATGGACAAGGATCTGACCTGCTAGAAGGTTCCTCCCAACTGTTTTCACAGGGAAAGAGCTGTGATGGTCCCAGCCAAGACCAGTCTTAGAGGGGCCCTGCCTCTAGCCACGGAGATGCACAGGAGAACCGTGTCTATTGGACTGTGTGGATCCAATGGCCTGGCACGTCAGACCCACAAGAATGCCAGGCTTTGGTTGATACTGGTGCTCAGTGCACGTTAATGCCCTCAGGACATGTGGGAACAGAGACTATTTCCATTTCTGGGGTGACAGGAAGGTCTCAGGAATTGACAGAGTTGGAAGCTGAGGTGAGCTTGACCAGGAAGGACTGGCAGAAACACCCCATTGTGACTGGTCCAGATGTCCCATGTATCCTGGGCACTGACTACCTCAGGAACAGATATTTCAAAGACCCCAAGGGACACAGATGGGTTTTTGGAATAGCTGCTGTGGAGACAGAGGTGGTTAAGCAGTTGAATTCATTACCGGGCCTCTCAGAGAACCCTTCTGCTGTGGGATTGTTGAAGGTTGAGGAACAGCAAGTGCCAATTGCCACCACAATAGTGCATGGTCGGCAGTACCAAACGAACTGAGATTCTGTGATCCCCAACCATAAGATGATCTGTGAGCTGAAGAGTCAAGGGATGGTCAGCAAGACTCACCCTTCAACAGCCCCATATGGCCTGTGTGTAACTCTGATGGAGAATGGAGATTGACTGTGGACTATTGTGGCCTGAATGAAGCCACCCTGCTGCTGAGTGCCACCGTGCCAGACATGTTGGAGCTCCAGTAGGAGCTGGAGTTCAAGGCAGCAAGGTGGTACGCCACTATTGACATTGCAAATTAGCAGCAGAGTGTAGGCCACAGTTTGCTTTCACCTGGAGGGGTTGCAGTACATCTGGAACCAACTGCCCCAGGGGTGGAAACACAGGCCCACCATCTGCCACAGGCTGATCCAGGTTGCACTAGAGAAGGGTGGAGCTCCAGAATACCTGCAATACATTGACAACATCATCGTATGGGGGGACAGAGCAGAGGAGGTTTCTGAGAAAGGAAAGAAAATCATCCAGATTCTCCTGGGAGCTGGTTTTGCCATCAAAAAGAGTAAGGTCAAAGGATCTGTCTGAGAGATCCAGCTCCTGGGGGTGAAGTGGCAAGATGGATGTCGTCAGATCCCGACAGAAGTCATTGATAAGATCACAGCAATGGCCCCACCGACCAGCAAGAAGGAAACACAAGCTTGTCTGGGTGCCATAGGTTTCTGGAGGATGCACATCCCTGAGTACAGCCAAATCGAAAGCCCTCTCTATCTGGTAACCTGCAAGAAGAATGATTTCCATTGGGGCCCTGAACAGCAGCAAGCATTTGAACAGAATAAGCAGGAGATTGCCCATGCTGTAGCCCTTGGGTCAGTCAGGACAGGACCAGATGTGAAGAATGTACTCTAGTCTGCATCTGGGGATAAAGGTCTTTCCTGGAGCCTCTGGCAAAAGGTGCCTGGTGAGACCCAAGGCAGTCCACTTGGATTCTGGAGCCAAAGCTACAGAGGAACTGAAGCCAACTACACTCCAACAGAGAAAGAGATCCTAGCAGCTTATGAAGGAGTACAAGCTGCCTCAGAGGTGACCGACACAGAAGAACAGCTCCTCCTGGCACCTCGATTACTGGTGCTGAGCTGGATGTTCAAGGGAAAAGTGGCCTCTACACATCATGCCACTGATGCTACATGGAGTAAGTGGATTGCTCCGATCACGCAGCGTGCCCGTATTGGAAATCTGAATTACCCTGGGATCCCAGAAGTCATCACAAACTGGTCAGAAGGTGAGAATTTTGGTCTAGCAGATGAAGAAGAAGGAGAGCAGGTGGTACAGGCTGAGGAAGCCCCAGCATAAAATCAGCTACCAGAAGAAGAAACACACTATGCCCTCTTTACTGATGGTTCTTGTCTCATTGTAGGGATGAAACGTAAATGGAAAGCATCTGTATGGAGCCCCACATGACAAGTTGCAGAAGCTATTGAAGGGGAAGGAGAATTGAGACGATTCGCAGAGCTCAAAGCTGTCCAGTTGGCATTGGACATTGCTGAACAAGACAAGTGGTCAAAGCTTTACCTCTATCCTGGCTCTTGGATGGTGGCCAATGCTCTGTGGGGGTGGTTGCATAGACGGAAGAAGGCCAATTGGAAACGTAGAGGGAAACCCA